CCGCCGGGCTCCTGGTTCCCTGCGGAGTCCTGGGGCCCCGCGGCCGGCCCCCACGCCGAGGACTCCTCCGTTCCCGCACACAGAGGCAGCCGGTCCGGCCGCTGGGCCACCAGGAGCCCGGACAGTGGCCTGGACTGCGGGAGTGACGAGGAGCTGCGATCCAGCTCCAGAAACGCCGCCGCCAAGCGCAGCCCAGGCCCCGGGCTCTGTCCCTGCAGGAGCCTGAGGCCTCTGCTGGCCCGGCGGCGGACGCTGACCCGGCAGAGCAGCATCGAAGAGGACTTTGGGGAGCAGGTGGACCCTGGTGACGTCATCAGAAGCGATGACGCCCATCCGAGCCCGGAGGGACCTGCCCCCAGGAAGTACGGCTGGGACGAGCCCGCAGGCCCCGAAGACCTTCGGGATGTTTGGAAGAAAAGCGTAAAAACGCCCGGCAGTAGGGCGGCCGCCCAACACGCGTGGGCACCTCCCCGAGTTGCAGACGGCCCTTTGGTGTGTGAAGTGACCCCCTCAAGTCTGCTTGCCAGACCGATCCGTTTCCATCCTTCATTTTATGCATTTATTTTGGTGCCATCCCTGGGGACTCTGCTGGCTGTCTTTAGTTTTCCATGCAGTTTTGATTTACTGGGTCCCATTGCTTCCCAACCCTTGACCATGCTGAAGATCTGTTTACTTTGCTTTAGAATAATGATCACCCCCCAATCAGCGATGATTATGGCTGCTTTAATTAAAGGACAACTGAATCTAAATTTTAATTAAGGGTTAGCTGAACTATGATTATCCAAAAGTCTGACAACACATACTTTTTCAAAACCGGCCGTAGGAACTGACTTAACGACTACCGGTATCATTGAAGGTTTGCTTGTTGTGGTTTTGATTTTTTTATTGTTGTCGTTTGGCCTTCATCCATAACTGAAAAAAAAAATGGAGAACGATTATCGAAGAGATCCATTTTTGCATATCGCTTCCTGTTTCTTTTTCCTTCATCTAGTTTTCGGAATGAATTTTCCATCATCAGCTCTAGACACACCCCCTGCCTGTCTGCCAGGCCTGTCAGTACTTTTCAGAGGAGGGGTGCCCTCAAGGCGTCATTCATCTCTGTATTGTGTCCACTTTTCAGAACATTTGCTCCTGTCACGCTGAACTTTTCAATGAACCCACTGGTGAGACATCACCTGGCGCCAGGCCGTGGCTCTGAGCCAGTGCAGTTTGTGATCTGTCCACAAGAGGGCGCCAACCCCACAACTCACTGATTCACCTGCCAGCGGCGGCCAGCCTGTACCCCGCCTGTAGCAAGATTGGGGCCAGAACAGTGGCTTGAGTTTCAAACACTCAGAAACTTCTTTGTTTTCGGTAGCCTCACATACAGCTCTTCCCCCGGCGGGACATGTGGCAATGCAGTGTTTCCCCACTTTGTGGCCGATGGAGGACAGGCCTATAAAGAAACTAGGCCAGGGCTGCGGTGGCCCAGGGCACCAGCGAGGCCCTGAGTCATGTTTAAGCCATTCTCACTTTGGGTCAAAACATCTGGCTTCTGCAGTAGCAGCGACACAAAGATGCCTCCCGAGGAAGTCTCTCTTGCCCCCACCCCGCCTGTGTGTCGAAAAGCAACCCCGATGTGGAAGGTGGGGCGCCTGGGGTGAGCAGCTTTTCTCTTCCAGGTCATTCAGCTAACCTTTCAGTTAAAAGCTAAGTTTAGTTGCCTTTAGAGCTTCTGCTTCTAAGATGAATTGATTTGGCTGACTTAATTCTTTCGTCCCCAAGGCCGGCGAGCCTTCTGACTGTTGTTTTGTCTTCAGATTTTAGGAAGCGTGGCGTCGGCAGGACGGGCGGAGAGGGCCGATCACGTGGGCCGGCGCTTTTCCCGCGGGAGTGCGGGCACGCGGAGGTCCCCGCCAGGGATGGTCCCGGCCATCGGTTAGTGGCCTGTCTGACGTCTTTCTCTCTCTTTCAGCCACAAACACAGGGTTGATTACTTCTCAATCCAAACATTTTTTTTAAAATTAAGAATAGCATTTTCATGCAAATACAGACAACTCCGTTACTCATAGCAAACCGGAGGCAGAAACAGCATAGGTAAAGCCCGTTGGTAAGTGTTCCCGAAGGGCCGTGGTGACTTTTCATGCACATCTTCCCCCTCCTGCGCACACTGTCACAAGCACACACCCCAGTAGCGCCCGGCTGGCCCCCCTCTCCTCTTCCCCCAACCCAGGCAGGGTGCTTCGGCCATGGCGCCCACCCCGCACACACACCCGCCCAGCGCAGCCTCAGCTTGCCGTGCCTCGCGTTGGCGGGGTGCTGCTGCCCGCCACTGGCCGTGCTCGGGGTGATGCTGAGCTTCGGGGCGCACGGACACAAAGTTCCAGCACGGCCCCAACGCCAGTGACTGCACAGCTCTCTGGGGAGCTGCTGGTTCAGCGGACTCTGCTCCCACCCAGCACCTGACCCCTTTTGTGTCCACTCGCCCCGGAGGCACTGGGGACAGTTGTGCGCCCCCCCCCCTGCAACCCGCCTCTCCCCACTGACGCTCCCCCAGCTGAGAGGCGTTCACAGCGACACTGGCAGAGTGTCCCTTCTGAGAACCGCCAACGATTTCCACGGAACGGAGCTGCATCTTGCTGGGGGCGGGACCGTTCCTTCCAGCAACACGCGGGCGGGAGCCCCTGCGCACGCGCGGGCTGCGGGGTCCGCCGCCGGCTTCGGGGCTCACGACCTCCCCCGCGGTACCGGAGAAGCCCGCCCACACGCGACCTCTTGCCCGCGACGGCGACCGAAACCAGATCCCGGGCGCAGGCGCGAGCGCGGCCCACCGTCTGGAAGTTTCCTTCCCTCTCGGGAGTTAATCGCTGAACGTTTCAGATTATCCGGGCATCCTCGACGGGCCGACTTAACGTGAAGCGTTCGCGCACTGACCGCTCCCGAGCTGACGCGCTTCCTACTTTCCGACTAAATGTTTCTCCGATGGGCTCGGTTCCTTCTCCATCAGCTCCCCGTCTTCCCGCACCTGTGACATCCTGTCACCCGCCTCCTGCGCTCCCGTGCTGGCGACAGGTCTGCCTGGCTGCTTGTCCGCCTCTCCTGTGACTGGAGCCTTTGTCACTTGCTTCCTTGCTGATGACAGCAGTGCGATCTGCCAGCGGATCACTCATGCCCTCCTCCTCCTCTGTCCGTACACGTGCTCCTGTCTCTGATGGGACCTGACGATGTGTACGCACATCCACACTCGTAATGACATTTGACTTTACACACGCACGTGTATTAGGATTTCCGAGAGTAATTTTTAGGGGCTGGACGGTAGGTGGCGCTGACACTCGGTCCTGCCAGGGAGTCATTACTTCGCACTGACTAGGAATGTGTTTGCTGCCACTTAAATACCCAGCGCTCAAGCATGGTCACCTGTGTCCCCCGGTGACCAATATACAAATGCATTCGAAACAGCTGGTGCGCTTTGGCGCACGTGACGTGAGACATGTCTCTGCGCGCGGCCCTCCACCGGCCTGGCCAGGGTGGCCGTGCCCTCGGGCGGGGCCACACAGCCCTTTCTCTCCTGTCCACTTGCGCCGGCCACCTTCGGAGCCCTGCTTGCTTCATGACAGGTCTCTGCTTTCAGATCCGCCTCCCCGCGAGGGCCTGTTTTGGGCAACGTATTAAGCCACACGTTTTAAAAACGCCCCAAGTGTCCCAGCCTCCCCCTCGTCTTCCCAAAGCTGGGGTCACGTCTGGCTCGGGTGTCCCCGTTGAATGGCAGGAATGACCGAGTGCTGTGTCCTTTGTCCCACACGCCCCCAGGTGACTACGGTGGCCGAGACCGGCTGTCCCCGGACTTGTACGAGGAGTCAGAGACCGACCCCGGCGCCGACGAGCCCCCGGCCCGCATCTTTGTGGCCCTGTTCGACTACGACCCTCTCAGCATGTCCCCCAACCCGGACGCTGCGGAGGAGCTGCCGTTTAAGGAGGGGCAGATCATCAGGGTGGGGGCGCGGCTGGGGGCAGGGGGACGGGGCGCTCAGCGGGCGGCAAGGAGGGGGGGCGGGGCGGCGACAGGCCCGGCGGAAGCGGTTGTCCCATCGCCGTCCGCTCCCGCAGCGAGGCGCACAAAGGGCGTCGGTGTCCACCCCGCGGCCACGACACGGGGCCCTGTCAGTCCAGATGCCTGACTTCTGGAACACCCGGCTCGGGGCGCCGTCTTCCCGCGGAGGGAGCCGTGTGCGGTGGCCGGGACCCACGTGTCCAGCGGCACTTCCATGGTGGGGGCGGGGGTGGGGGTCCCCCATGCACGCCTTTAGTTGTGTGAATTCAAACGCGCCCGTCGAGGCCCGGCCACCCCCGCAACTCCCCGAAGGGGAGGCCCCGGCCGGGCGAACCTGGAGGAGAACCTGGCCCCTAGGGTCACGCGCGCCCGCCAATAGGACCCCACTGTGCGCGGGTGACGCGTTTCCGAAGCAGCCAAGCACAAGGCCTCGCCTTCTTCCCGCCCCAGGTCTATGGCGACAAGGACGCGGACGGGTTCTACCGCGGGGAGACGTGCGCCCGGCTCGGCCTCATCCCCTGCAACATGGTCTCCGAAATCCAGGCCGACGACGACGAGATGATGGACCAGCTGCTCAGACAGGGCTTCCTCCCCCTGAACACGCCGGTGGAGAAGACAGGTAAGAACACACCTGCCGTCCCTGGCCTGGGACAGCAGGCAGCGGCTCCGGGCGGGAGGCGCCGGCACAGGACTAAGCCGCGCCACCCAAGGGCGCCAGAGGGGTCTGCAAGTCCAGTGCCAACTTCCCTCGGGCGGAGCGCGCTCTGCGGAGCAGGCGGCACAGCCTGCGCGCGCGGACCCGGCGCCCGGACATCTGCGCAGACGCGGACGGGCCAATACGGCCCGCGGGCTCGGGCTTGCGGGCTGTACGCCGCACTGGGAAAGAGACTGCGGCTTTCTGGTTCTTTGCGGGGAATGGTCACATCCCCCACATTCTTACGCTGAAATCCTGCCCCGCAAGGGGATGGCGTTGCCAGGTGGGGCCTTTGGCAGGGGGCGAGGCCCTGAGGGGGGACCCGCAGAGCCCCGCCCCCTTCTGTCGTGTGGGGACACAGTGTGAGGGCGCAGCGAGAAGGCAGCGTGTGCGCCCCAGGAAGCAGGCGCTCTCACCAGACAGCGAACCTTCCAGCGACATTACATTTATGATCTCTCATTTTTCCCGCGTGCAAGGAACACCTACCCTTTAAAAAGGTCCCCACTTTTTCTAAATCGCTGTAGACAGTCATGTCATTTGTATTTAAGGTTTTAATACTGGAAAACATTAGATTAACTTTGAAATCAGACTTCAAAGACAAAATTCGATGGTTCAAAGAATATGTGTAATTTTAAGGATAATCACAAAAATCAAACAAAATGTTTCCACATTTTCGGTATTAGTAAACTCATTGTCTCAAGTTAAAACCCACATCTGATGGCCCGGGCTCCACCAGGCTCTTTGCCCACGTGACGCTGGCGAGACTCGCTCTCTGAGGCCCCGACACCACCCTCCCCTTCCGTGGCTGACCCCCTAGCCTGAGGTCAACGGTCCCCAACAAGAGGGGACCCAGAGAGCCTAGCCACCGACAGCCAGAAAGCAGTAACTTAAGTTACCAACCAGAGTCAACGTCTCTTTACTCCACTTTCCTAAATGCGGCCAAACGAGCCACACTGAGACACCCGCGTGCCGCTCTGCCACTAGGAGTTACCACACTTGATGGTGAGAGACTGGAAGCTTCTCCCCTAAGCCCGGGCGTAGGGCGTGATGTCTGCCCTCAGCGCCCCTCCCATCCCCACGCTCCAGCCCTGGCCAGTGCACATGGGCGAGCAAGGAGCAAGTGGGACTTTTTCTAGCCACAGATGACTTGAAATCTACCTAGAAAATCTCAAAGAATCTATTAAAAGCTCCTACAACCAACGAGTGAGTTCAGCAAGGTCGATGGCCCTTGCTAAACACGCAGTCATGTATTTCCATAAGTTAGCAATGAAAAATTGAAGTTTCAATGTAAAAAGGGATCTCATTTACGATAACCCAATAAAACACGAAGTAGCATTAAATGTGACGAAACACGTGTGGGACCTGTATGATGAAATCTACAAAACACTGATGAAATTAATCACAGAATTCTTGAGTAAATATATGGTTTATTGGTATCGTTAAGATGTCAAATGTCCCCAAGTTGACCCAGCGATGGCCGCAATCCCAATCCGAGTCTGAGCAGGAACATACGTCAGGTCAATGAGCTAAATCCAAAATTTATATGCAAGGGCAGAGGAACGAGAGCCACCAAGACGATTTTTAGAAAGAACCAAACCGGTAGATCGTAGAACCTGATTTTAAGACTCACTGTGACTTAGTCATAAATCAGCCAAGACAAGGTGGTTCTGGGCAGAGGACAGACGCACAGGTCAGTGGAACAGGACGGGGTCCAGGAGCAGCCAGCGCTTCCAGACGGTTGACTTTCGACAAAGACGAAAAGGCAATTCAAGGGAAACCACGGTCTCTTCAGTGACAGTGCTGGACACCTGGACACCAAAAACTGAATCTCAGGCCATATTCTCACCGTATTAAAAAATCAACTCAAAATGGAACTGGCTTAAATATAAAAACCAAGACTGTAAAATGTCTAAGAGAAAACATAGGAGAGAACTTTGTGATGACCAGGCAAAGATTTCTTTAATAAGACTCTAAAGCCGTGATGCATAAAAAAAAAAGTGTTAGATTTCATCAGAAGCAAACATTTCTGAGCTTGGAAAGACACCATGAAGAGAAGGGACAGAGGCCCCTCAGGCTGGCGACACTCTCTGCAGTGACTCAGAAAAGGGGTTTGTGTTT